TTCCAACCCAAACTATTCTATGATCCTATGTCAGATAGGTTTAAAGGACAGAAATGTAGATGAGTGACTTGAGAGGAGATTAAGTGACAGGCTCCAAACTACCTTCCAGGTTAAAGTAGAACCAGTCATGGAGGAATGTAAACCAGACCCAATGGAACAAGATGAGAAGAAATCTGATGTGAAGACTGAAATACCAGAGGGGGAAGAAAGACCTACTTCTCCAGCTACTCAGTCTTCTCCGGCAGCTGGGCAGTCTAAGAAAAAAAGTAAGCAAGAACACTTTTGACTGAAATTCATTGCATCTCCCTAGAGAAATCTTATGGAGGGAAAAAACTTGGGCTTTCTTCATTGGTACTCAGTAGGCTTATATAGATTGTTCTTTGTGGCTTTTGGACAAAAAATGTCTAAGATGACATGTGCTTATAATTGGCTTCGGGCAAGTTCTTTAAGGCTTTAGTATTAAACATTAAGCTTTCGTAAAATTGTGACCACAATAGAGATTTGAAGTACTTCTCAGTTACAGATTTTCTAGACAAGTTTTTTCTTGGGACCTCAGAGAGGGGCCATATTTAGAATGTAAACCCGGTCTGTTAAATTTAGAGGTGTCTTCCTATGATAAAAACAAATTCTCTTTAATATTTTGGCCTTCTCCTTGTGTCCAGGTGATAATTGTAATATCCTCCTCAGAACTCAGTGTTGCAGAGGATAAACAAGACATGCTAAGTAACTTAAACCCGTTGTCTGTAGTCTTTTTCCACAGACCTCACATTTTCCAGCAGACTTCTTCCTTACAGCTGTTTCTGCTATCTTTCTAATGTTCATTGCTTTTCAAAAGTTTTCAAGCCAGAAGAGTTGCGGCAGGCGCTTATGCCAACACTGGAGGCACTTTACCGTCAGGATCCAGAGTCTCTTCCATTTCGGCAGCCTGTGGATCCCCAACTACTGGGAATTCCTGTGAGTGTCTTAGCAAGCAAGTTTCCGGGCTTTAATTCAAAACTATTATATTATGACATACCTATTTGAGAACAGCCTGAGTGTGTCTTGTTAACAGTTTTATATTAATGCATTTGAAGAAGTTTAGCTTAGGCAGTGGAACATACAATGCCTAACTTAGGAAAGTTTGTTCAGTTCTGTCTTCATTGTGATAAATAAGCAAGTATACCATACATTGAAGTGATTACCAACAGATCCCTGGTCCTGTGTGGGCTTTGTATAGATGTTGCTTCATGTTCTGGTGATTCTATTGCTGAATCCTGTAGGTGTTTCTCATATATAAAACTTGTCTGAATATGTGGGAAATTAAGCAGATCAAGACCACTTAAAAAAAAAATTCCATCAATTATTATTAATCTGTTATAAGAAAGGAGATGACTATTCAACTTCTAGTTTTTGTTTCAGTCAAATTTTCTGCTTGTTTTAGAATTGTCTTTGGAAGACACTACTATTCTTCAAGGATCTGTGTGTTTAAACTCTCTGGATTCACCACACACGTTTACTATTTATACACAAATATGAATTCACAGAAGTCCTGCTTAGGTGCATTGGGAAACATTTTTTGCCTTAAAGGGTTTTTTTTGTTTGGTTTTGGTGTGTTTGTTTTTTTAGGATAGATACTGCAGAAATTCAAGGCCTGCTGTATTATAAGCAGGCATAAATGGTGCTAATATTCCTTAACAAGCTCTGAACTGGCTGTCATATTGTGAAGACTTTTGTAGGAGAAGTGGTCCTATAACTGATGGGGGGGATTGGAAAAGGCTGTTCTTTAGAGGAGACATATCTTTTATCTAATGAAGTTACTTCTTTTTGTTTATTAGGTTGGTCTACTAAAAACAGTTGCTTTCTATTAATGGTCTTGTGTATATTCTCAGATCGCAGTGGCTGCAAAAACATTGCCATTTCCTACTTTTTGTAATACTTGTTTTGCTGATTAAAATTATAGTGGCTTTATTTCATCAGGAGTGGAAGAGCAATAGAGCCTGAGAAATAAAAGAATAATGAAAAGGAAGCACTGGGGAGTGATATGGCATTACTTAGAGATGTCATTGTACGTCACAAGCAGTTTGACAATCATGTCAGGGAGGAACCTGTTTTTCTTGATGTACCGCAGAAGAATTTATATGCTGAGAATACACATGCTGTCATGTCACAACATAGTTCTGTAGTAGCGTTTTGATATGCTGCGTATTCTTGCAGGATTATTTTGACATAGTGAAGAACCCCATGGACCTTTCTACTATCAAGAGGAAGCTAGACACAGGACAGTATCAGGAACCGTGGCAATATGTAGATGACATCTGGCTCATGTTCAATAATGCCTGGCTGTATAACCGCAAAACATCCCGGGTATATAAGTACTGTTCCAAACTGGCAGAGGTGTTTGAGCAAGAAATTGACCCAGTTATGCAGAGCCTTGGTTATTGCTGTGGAAGAAAGGTAAGAAAATAAATATATTTAGTCTCCTGCTTGTTTCCTGGTATTGAAGGGGGGAAAAACACAGCGGTTGCAGTTGTTAGCAGTTATGGTGTGTCAAAACTTTTGAAAGTTTACCAGGATTTAGCAATCCAGAGTAATCTGATTTTGAGGTTTTTATGGATTGTCTAATTCTATCTAGTGCTTAAATAATCTATTTGTATATAAGCCCTTGAGGGGGGAAAAGTCAGTAACTGAAGGCTTATTTTGATTAGGGCAAACCAGTTTGCTATTGCAAATTAGAGATGTGTTTTTGTTACTGCAGAAGAAATGCTGTCTATTTCACTGTATATTGAGACTGTGTATTTCCATTGTGTTGTTTTGATACACTTTCCATTTTTGGAGAAGAGCTAACTTGAGAGTAACAGCCCACTGAACATTATTTTTATGACTAGCACTTCATGCACTTGCTGTACTGTGAGATCTGTGCACAGAGTAAAGTGGAAATGATCGTTGTCTGGGTCACACTTGCTTCCCATGGAGAGCAAGTGAAAACATGTATGAGTACTAAGACAACCCATTCCTTTTTGCAGTTGGAGTTCTCACCGCAGACTTTGTGTTGCTATGGCAAACAGCTATGCACAATCCCTCGAGACGCCACTTACTACAGTTACCAGAACAGGTAAGGAAAACTCACTTGGTGTGGTTTGGTGCATGCTGCAATCAGTCTGTTAAAGGTGTGCATGTATTCACGTATACAGCCTCTTTATATGTCTGTACCTTTGTGTTTTAAGATAAAAATTTGCTGGAAGTGCCCTCGAAGAGTTTACCTTGTGTGTTAGTGATTTCTTTCTACAAAAGTTCACTGCAGCCTTTGCTCTTCCTCTTTTGTTTGCAGAAATGTTGTGTTTTACTAAATTTTTATCCTATAGTTAATTAGATCTTTAGTTATTTACAAATCATATATACAAGTCTGTTGTCTTTGCTTCCTACTACATGGCAGTATTTTTCATCCAGAACACTGAGTAAACTATGCAGCACGTATATTAATGCTTGTAATACATATTACACTTGGCAAGTCTTTTTGTTTTTCTCATGATGTTAACACTGAAGTCTAAACTTATTTTTGTGATGCAGATCTTAACTGGAAGATTTGTGTATTCAGATCTTCAGTAGATTGATGCTTGCTGTTTCTCCCAAAGTTTCCTTAAGGGAGTTGTCTTGCAGTAGCTGTCAGCAGCTCTGTAAAGTGCTGTCACTTCTACAGCTCTTTTGAATAATTTTTTTGACTTCTGAAAGAAGGTTTCTTGCTAGGCATCTCTTTGCCAACTGGGGAAGCAAGGCAGGAAGAAGCAGGGAAATACATGCTTTAACATTCCCATATCCCCTTGCCTGTCACTAGAATGCACCTGTTAGAGCAGAGGGCTGGGTACCTCCAAACAGTTATCACCTCCATCAATTTAGCTCCTGCTCTCTGTTTTTTCCAATGCTTTAAACAAACAAAACAACAAAAACACTAAGGCTTTTTACCTGAAAGCGAAAGCCAAGAAGATTTTGCAAGAATTGTGGTTTTCTTAATCACCTGGTCAGGTGAAAGCAACCAGAGAGCTACAGGAATTATATCTTAACCTTCTTAGGCTTCGTAAAGGTTTATAGTAGTGAATGGAGGTTTTTAGGAGTGAAGAAGTAGAAAATAAGCTTATAGTATCCCCTAATAACTATTGTAGTTTTAGGCTTGCATAGTGTAGAGCTTTTCATATCATGTCAGTATCTTCTGCTTATGTTTATCTATGGGCAAACAGTAGATGCATCAAAAGACTATTATTAAAAAAACCTGATGTGCTTTACATGTTTTCAAACATTAGAAGGGAATGCTTACCTTATAACAGGTACATACATGTGACTTATAAATTACCTTATACATACACATGTATATATATTTATAGACTTAAATGTACAATTCCAGAAGTACTGTTCTCTGCATTATGTTAGATGAAAACTGGAAGAGAGGATTGAGATCTGTCGTCTTAGCCTAACAGCTGCTGTAGTGTTCGTTTGTGTGGCTTTATAATAAACTTGTTTGAATTTTCTTTTATTTCTTTTTATTTTTAGATGTCTTGTGCACTCAATTAACATGCCTTAGTAATGGAGAGGCCACAGTTTTAGAACATTTTTGAGGGCTGCGGTAGAATCTTGAATTAATCACTATTTTATTCAAGTATAAATGAAGTCTTTCTCTGTAATGCTTGCTGTATTGATGCCTGGACTGTTCTACACTCAAACTGGGCTATGGCAGAATCATATCACTGTAGAGTATTATGTGTGTAGTTAACATTAGGTATTTTAGTAAACGTACAGTTTGACAGTTCTATAATTAATATCTGTAAGATTTTTTGAGGACAGATTTTATTGTTCTTGAAGCTTCTGATGTTTAGCTTTCCCTTTCAACTGGGAGAGAATCCTGTGGCCTTTCAGCATTTATACATTTGAGATGGAAGACTATCCCTCTTCCATTGATTTCCTGCAGATCCTCCTTCCAACAGAGCTGCTGTGCTGATGTACAAGTCAGAGTAGCAGTTCTTCCTTCCTTCTGCTCTTTCCCCTTTCTCATTTTAATTCTTTGCTGTACGTGGCATGGATTATTAAAATGAAGAGGGTATGGGTATGCTAAAATGGAATACTCTTGTTTAATTTGCTTTAATCATTTGCTGCTTGTGAAGCCATTTGAGAGATTTAATGCTAATCTGTGCTTTGCCTTGGCTTTCTGCTTTTTGTTGTCTTGTCCTGCTTCTATGTTTTTGTTTTTTGTCCTGCAAACCCCCATTTCTTTGTTTGTGTGTGTGTTATTTTTTTTTCTCCTTCATGCTTGTCATTGTCTGCACTTGGCTTTGATTGCGCAAAAAAAACAAACAAACAAACAAAAAAAAACCCAAACCAACCAAACACAATGTGGGGCCCATAAATCTGCATCATTGAATATCCTTGTCGCCGTTGATGACCTGCTCTCTGCTCCTGTCCCTTCTTTGGCCTGCTGTGATTGGTGGCTCCGTTGCTTGACTTGGGCTGTGTTGTGTGGACGGAGCAGTTCACCCAAATATGGCCTTCTTGCTGACAGGTATCATTTCTGTGAGAAGTGCTTCAATGAAATCCAAGGGGAGAGCGTTTCTCTGGGAGATGACCCATCACAACCTCAAACGTGAGTTATTTGTGTTTGCTTGGGCTGTGCATTCATAAGCTTTATCGTGGTCAATAGTGCTTTCTCAAATGGAAGGAGTTTAGGTAACCCTTGCTGTTTGTAGGCTAGTAGAAGGTGGACCAGATATTCTTTATAAAATCCTGGAGTTGTGCTGTAGATTTTTTTCTTTAAAATCTGGGATGACTGAACTGTAGTGAAAAATAAGCATTTAATGCTTAAAATTGCAACTATGCCAATAGATGGGAAAGAAAAGAATTGCTTTTTTCTGAAAAAAGTGTGAAAGTATTCTACTGCAGAAAAATAATGATGCCTGCAGGCACGTAGGTGATAAACATAGTTTGAAATAGTCAAATGTACAGTTCTGTTTATAGACTATGCTATTAAACTCATATTCAGCTTCAGATTGTTTTTCACCCAAATCAGAAGCGGGCAACCTCCTTTTGCCATACAAATATTTTGTTGTTGGAGTGCCATCTGCTTATGAGAAATGCCATGTAGTTGTTGAGATCACAGTAAAAAGCTGTGTGTGGACCTAGTTGCCTTTTCCGTGCTGGTGGGAAAGTGTCGGGACAGTCTTTCATTCTGCTGTACCCTCCTCACACCCCACAAAAAAAATCTTGAAACAAAATGTTGGGAGACTAAGGAAGTCCTTGAGGGACAAATAAGTGCCAAGCAGTTACTCTTTGAGCTGTTGAAGAAAGCTCTTTGGGGGAGGGCGTTGCAGGAACACTGCAGATAGAAGCAAGTGACGAACTTAAGAGAGTCTGAAGCTGGGGGAGAGTTGTCTAAGTTGGTAATTGGACAAACTGAGTTAACTTTCACTGTAAGTAGAAGTTGTCTTTAGCAGCATGTTACCGAATCCTGGTTGTGCTGATGGAGGTATATAGAACAGCAGTGAAAGAATCCACTGGGGCTTGGGAGGATGTAAGAGTACATCTCTCTCTGGAAGGAAAAAGGAAGAAATAATGTTCGTATGCTGATCAGTACAATAGGCCATGCCCCTGGGAATAGTATGGAATATTGCTCTAGCAGAAGCAAAGACTCAAAGTTTGATCAATATCGTCCAGTTTTGTTAATATGAGATGTGGGATATGAAGTACTTTCACATATGAGAGAAGGAAGTATCTATATGCATGGAAATCTGTGTGTAAATAAACATCCAATATATTCATGTTTATATATAAATTTTTGTTCAGCTGCTGAGAGAGCACGATCTTTCTCGTACACGTAAGTTGGAATGGTTTGCCACAAACCTTTGCGTCAGGGTAGAAGGTAGCATAGTGTAAAAATCAAAAGCACTCTAGATTTGGAAGCACAGATGCTAGATAAAAATTTGTTTTTTAAATAATGAAAACAATCAAAAGCTCTTTGAGCACAAGCCATGGTAAGAAGGTGCTTCCAGCTCCTGGTATTCTTTTCACAGCTAGTTTAAATGCTTGGTTGTTGTCTAGTGAAAATGGAGGCTATAGGCTGCACACAAGGAGCAAGTACACTTCTGAATGTTTTCCCACCTGTTTACGGGCTTTCTCTTAGGAGCTCATTTTACTGGGGCATAGAGATCCTGCTCTCTTCCCACAACCTGTAGTTAAAATGAACAAAAGCAAAAGAGATTAGGAATATATATGTCAGGTCCTGTTTACAGTTCTATTCAGCATGTTATAATAGTAGTTTGAGCTAATTGGGAGATTGAACTTTCCTCGTTTATCTGATAAAGAGCTCGAAGTATTCTGCAGGTAGCACTATTCAGAATAAACACTGAAATTAAAGGGTAGGAAGGTTAATGCACCTCATGCAAGTTGGTTTGAGTCTCTGTTATAGCTTCTAAGAGAGGTGTCTACAGATCTTCTCACATTATACAGCACCCTCTCTGGGTATTCTTGCATGATTGTTCTGGACTATTTTGAACCAGATTGGTGTCAAAGATACCTGGGACCTCACTGTCAAAGCAAATGCTGTAGGGAAGGTAACGCTAGTGTAGAGTAGTGGCTGGGCTGGGGTTGCAGGACTTGGAAGCTGAAATTTTATCATTTGAAGTTAATCTAGGAGGAGGACTAGGGGAATCTGAAATCGGATAACCTACCTTTCTCAGTAATCAAAAATAATTGGACTTCTCTGCCTTCAGAATATCAGAGAGGCATATCAAATAGTCCTTTCACTATGAAGTACTGATCAGTCTGGTCCAAAACTTGAATGTCAGTAAGTTTTACCATTTATCCTGTAGTAAAACTGAATAAGGGAGCAATGTGATTCTTCCTCTACAAGCTATTGACCCATAGAAAAAATTGTTTTCCATGGGCAGAGTCAAGGGTGGCATATACTTTAATTGTCTGTCACTTTGTGAAATACAACTCCTTTCCTTCTAGTGCCAATCAGTATTTAAAAAAATCTACTTGCAAGTTTTGTCTTGGTGTGTGGATATGTGTTGTATGGCATGAATGTATGTTGTCTTGTGTTAAAACTGAGTTTTATTGCCTGTTTCTCCGTAGCACGATAAATAAAGAACAGTTCTCAAAAAGGAAAAATGATACACTGGACCCTGAACTGTAAGTAATGCTGTCACATTTTGAATGATCCTCATTTCACTATAATCATTTTGTAAAAGACATGTTATTCAGTCACCATCAGCTTTGTTTTCCAGTGTTTTCCAAATTTCATGTAGCTCTGTTAGCCAGCAGGGGCTGCTCAGTAAGCAGCATATCTGGCATTCTGTGCTTAGAACCCAAACCCCCACAGCTGTACTTGAGAAATATGTAACACTGTATGTATGGGCCAAAATTACTGCATTTTGTTGTCTTGAATGTGGATTCAGATAACTCTGCTTCGAAACCCTGTTGTGGCAAATGCTCAAGTCTGAGAACTTACTTGAGTCATTTGGCACCAGCTCTTTTGGTGCTGTTGGCTTTTCTAGTTGTCATATTTTACAGGCAGCTGTAGTAGAAGGAAAAGTTCTTAAGTTTGAATAAGCTGTTTTTTCTACACTGCCCTGGAAGCAGAGCTGTAGACATTCAGTAAAGTTAAGATGATGGTGACTCAGCTGCTTTTCTTTATATTCCTGAAGGTTTCTTTGAAGCCACTTTACATGGTGCTGCATTGCACGCCTGTGCTGCTCCTCTGCAAACATTATCTTCATTCTCAAATGAATGAGCAAAAAGGATGTGTATTCTTCCCACACCATCCTTCTAAGGGCGTAAGAGTCAGCCAGTTCTTCTGTTTTACAAAGGCTGTGGGAAGGAGAGAATAGTAATTAAATTCGTAACTTTTCTTTCCCTTTGTTATAATAAAGATACAGCCTAATGCTAGAATACAAGCCTAACTTACAGTATGGTACCCTGTAATGACAGCTGTTCATTCAAAACCTCACGCTTATAAATAGATATGTTCAAAAGGAGTCAGATTGTCCTGATGCATGAAGCAACCTTAGGTATTTTGGAGAATTATATTCACCAACATTTGTGAAGTAGGCCATATCACTTACCTCAGTTGTCCTTAAATCTCTGCTAGTCTTCTGAAAGTGACTTTGATATTGCTTCTGTTTTTCTTCCTTCTCACCTTTCTGCAGTATATTGCAATGTACCCCAGGCTTCAAGTGTACTGGGGCAACTAACAGCCACCTATTTCTCCTGGTTCTTTGCCTCTGACACAAGTGAATCCATTTTCCTCTCTTCTTTATAGCAGCAAGCAGTTTACAGGTTTTATCCTTAGAAGGGCTTCGCTTTAAAAAATGAGTGAAGTGGATGGCAGTAAGGCAAGCAGATGTGCTTGCCTGCATAGTCTGTGTGTCCCTGCATAGTCTACCAGACTTGAGCTAAAAGATTCTTAATTCATTCTGGAGGCTGTTCTCAGCATAGATGTGCCCTCTTTGTTAAATAGGCTCAAGAGCCTATATGCTAGAAGTCCTCTAATAAAATATTACAAAATATACAAGCAAGTAATGATACTATAACCTTGCTTCCCTTCCCCCCCTTTTTTCCCTTCTACAGATTTGTTGAATGTATAGAGTGTGGAAGAAAAATGCACCAGATCTGTGTTCTTCATAATGAGATAATCTGGCCTTCCGGGTGAGGAATTTCTCCTTAAGTAGAGAGTATATGGTAGATTTACTAGAGTCAGTACATAAACTTCCTTATATTGTCTATATTCAAAAGAGTGTCTAATGGAAGAAGTTGCATTCTCATCTGAAAATTTTACAGAATCTATAGGGTAACATCAAATTTAGACATCATATCTTACTGTGTTGTGTATGAAGTTGTTTCTAATCTTGAACGTTTCTAATCTTCCTTTGTGTGGAAGAGTGTGTTTCAGCCTTTTGTGTTTAAAGGTACTAGTCCTTCATGAAAAGATGTTTTTAGTTTTGGTAACAATTTCATGTTGATCTATTTTCTGTACAAATCATACTGCTTTGTCACCTTCAAAAAAGAAGTTTGTAACAACTAAAGAATTTAAAAGGTGAAGTCACTTTTTTGACCTTGGTGATCAGATCAAATATGAAAAACAATCTAGTTGTCTTTAGATACTCCATAGTTCTTGATTAGCATACTGGGTTTTCTTCTGATTGCTTTTAAAGCTTTGCTAAAAGGATGATAAATTATATGTAGATAAAGCTCTGTAAGAGCTTAAATGTTCCCTTTCTTGACAAGACAGTTATGACTTTTACCATTCTGTTATCCCATCTACATTGCTGCAGAAGAGGATAGACATCCTGTAACTGAGGAAGAATCTGCCCATCATTTCATGCTACGGTGTGCTTGGGCATTTAGAAAAAAATCAACTTTTTGCTTTATGTGTTGTGGTATCTTATCTTCATCAGAGGCAACAGTTTGAGACTATTTGTTCCAAGAATACTTTGTCAATATTGTTAGACTTGCCAGTGGAGAGCCTGTTTGCTGGGTTTGCAGGTGGTGACATGGGTGACTGACAGGAGATGCACCCCTTGAACCTTAGATCTTCCTCTGCAGCTCTGAAACAGTTGAGCCGTTTCTGCTGGCACTGTTCTTTGCACTGTCTTTTTATTTCAAGTTTCAATTAAGGTATTTTCCAGACCAGATAAGATCTGGTTAAAGATTTTGCTTCTAATGGTAAGATGCTAAGGAACTTTACACCACTTTGGGGTGGTTTTTCACTTTCTCTTGTTTTTGCTTCAGCTTTGTCTGTGATGGCTGCCTAAAGAAAACAGGACGAACCCGGAAAGAGAACAAATTCTCTGCTAAAAGTAAGATTCTGACACTTGCACCAATAAATCTTAAATAATCTGTTAAGAATGGGGAAGAGGTGGCTTCCATGCTTGTTTTGCATTTATTCAGTTTTTTTGAGTTAAAGGAGGATACTTTTGGTCAGTTCTGTAATGTTCAGAATGTTTGCATTCACAGATGTTGTCGTTGGTTTATAGTCTATAGAGGGTTAATGTACTGTTTTAGATCACTGCTAATGCAAGCTACACATCCTTTTATCTCAATTGCAGTGTTAATAGCATTGGGAATTAGTTGCTGTGTGACTGCAGTCTAACTTAAATTTATGATAACATGTTCAAGTCACTGTAACTACTGCTGCTATTAAAAACTTCGATGGAGATAAAGGTTGCATCACTTGGTGACAAAATCCTCCATAGACATTTCCTCTTGATCAAGGCAGCTGATTTGAAGGCAGTGTAGGAGGAAATTTGTGCAGTCGTTGTCCATCTGTTCTGTAGACAAAATAAGTCTTTCAGAAGCTTTTTAGGTTGGTGTACTTTTTACAAATAGTATTTACATTTCTGCTAAAAAAAACAAAATAAATAAATCCCCGGGCAGCCAAGGGCATCAAGATTCAGCAAACCATGCAATGAATGGACTCAACATCAGAGTCTCTGTCCAAAATCAAAACTCCCTGGGTTCACCAAGAATACAGGAAGAATACAAGGCTTCTTTTACAGTTTTTATCAGTTTTTGTTTCTAGCAACCTATATGTATTGGATACTTAACATGGTGATGCTTTACTGAAAGGTGTCAAATTGGAAAAATTAAAAGCTGATTCGCAGATACATAACTCTACCAGAAGCAAGGGACAGCAGTGAGACAGGCCCTGTTACACCATCAGTTTAAAACTTGCTTTCAGCTTTAGATTTTTGTCAGCTACTGTTATGCTGGTGCTTTTGTATGAAGATGGTTTGAAAATGGGAAACTTCTAAACTAGGTTACTTGCAGATACAGTTGTAGTTAGCTGTCCTTTCCATTATTGAAATATATTCTTTTGGTAAATGGAGAGAGTGACTTGGCTAGCATGGCTTCAGAGACAGAATATACTTCCAAATGCAATGTCTGCTCTTGAAGCTATGTTTGAGCACAGTGTTTTGTAATCCAGTTAAAGTAATTAATAGCTTCTATTCCGGAGGACCCTTAATGGTGATTGACTTTTAAGACAGAGAGAAATTGGGTTGAAATACAGATTTTTTTTCTTAATTTAAATAATGTATAAACCATAAACGTGTATGCAGGTGAAAAGCAGCTCACCCCATCTAGAAGTGTTAGTGTTTAAAGATAAAACTTTAATTTATGATAACATACTGCACACATTGAGTCACTTGTCATTTAACATCTGAGTAGAGGAATCGCATTTGAACAGTTCAGTTTTGTATATATTTAGAGCTGTATTTTTCTCTTTCAGGGTTACCAGCTACAAGACTTGGTACCTTCTTGGAGAACAGAGTCAATGACTTCCTAAGACGACAGAATCACCCTGAGGCAGGAGAGGTTACAGTTAGGGTGGTACATGCATCTGACAAAACTGTTGAAGTAAAACCAGGAATGAAAGCAAGGTATGTTCTTTCCATTTCTTATTTTGCTTTCTTTTGGAATTTATTGGAAGATGTTGGAATTTACTTACATGCTACTATTTAAAAAAAGTAGACTGTTGTATTTAAAACCTTACCACTGACTGGTTCTTGACAAACAGGTGTTACAGCAGCATATTAATCAGTTGTGATGAGTATAGCCTTTTATAGTAAAACATGGGTGCCTTGTATTTGAGCAGTCTGTAAGCATTTAACTTTAAAATTGTGCTAAAATTACATTTACAGTAGCCTTCATCATTGTTGCCTTTACCTAGTGACATGTATTCTCTAATATGTGAATGTATTTGGTATTCCTCTTCACCTTCTTTAATCTGCAGGTTTGTAGACAGTGGAGAGATGGCTGAGTCTTTCCCTTATCGAACAAAAGCACTTTTTGCCTTTGAGGAGATTGATGGTGTAGACTTGTGCTTCTTTGGGATGCATGTACAGGAGTATGGCTCAGATTGTCCTCCTCCCAATCAAAGGTGAGGAGCTGCATGAAAGTTTATTTTATTTTGGTACTGTCTCAATTGGGTGAACCTTCTGAAGTTCAGTGTAGAGCTTCAGTGTTGCATATGTGAAGACTCATAGTGCTGTTAGCTTCTAGAAATGAAGTAGCTTCTGTAGTGGATATGTCAGACCCACTTCTTGCTGGGGATGCTGGCTGGCAGGCAGTGTTGCCTTAAGGATCAGTTGTCAGTATTCTCACAGAAGGGATTGGATAGTTTGAGAGAGATGCGCCAGGATATCAAAAGAAAGCTGAGTTTCTAGAGGTAAAATAGGATCAGAGGCTTTGAAGATTGCTGTTGTGTTGGATGTTTCAAATGGATAAAATACCATGAATAAACCTCATAGAACTACTTTGAAATCTCTGCTTCTTATCATGCTGCCTTTTTTTTTTTTCAGGCGAGTGTATATATCTTACCTTGACAGTGTTCATTTCTTCCGCCCTAAATGCTTGAGGACTGCTGTCTATCATGAAATACTAATTGGATATCTAGAATACGTCAAGAAACTAGGGTAAGTCTTTTTTAATGTTTTCTTCTGTGCAGCATTTGTTCTAGGTAGTTCTTACTGCAAATGAAATTACTACATCCTATTGTGCAGAATATGGGGCCTAAATATGAACTGATGATAGAATAACTTGGCAACAACTGTGTATAGTTGAAAAGGAGGAAAGACAAAAAGGGGTTGCAGACTTTTCAGGAGAGGCTTATGCTTCAGGTACTTTTAGGTTTCCAAATTGTCATGGTTTAATGCAGCAGGTAGCTAAAAGAGCCACACAGCTGTTCGCTCACCCCCTGCCCCCAGTGGGTTGGGGGGGAGAGTCAGAAAACAGGTCGAACTCCTGGGTTGAGATAAAGACAGTTTAATGGGGACAGGGAAGGAAAAAAAATGATAAAAGAATGTACAAAACAAGTGATGCACAGCTCACCACCTGCTGATTGATGCCCAACCAGTTCCCAAGTCACGGCCCGTCCCAGGCCAATTCCCCCAGTTTATATACTGAGCATGACATCGTATGTTATGGAATATCATATCAGTTGGGGTCAGCTGTCCTGGCTGTTGCTGCTCCCAGCTTCCCAGGCACCCCCTGCCTTCTCACTGGCAGGCCAGAGCATGGGAAGCTGAAAAGTCCTTGACTACTTAGCAACAACTGAAAACATCAGTGTGTTATCAATGTGTTTTTCATCCCAAATCCAAAACACAGCACAATACCAGCTATCAGGAAGAAAATTAACTCTATCCCAGCTGAAACCAGGACACAAACTTCTGTAGAACTTCCTTGAGTCTAAGTAGAAAAAGTGAGCCTTTTTTATCTGGACCGTAAAATTTTGCTGGCCTTGTTGACAGTGCAGTCCTTGTGTAATGCCACTGCTTTAATCGGGTCATTCCTCTGGGCTCGTAAATGAGTTCTTACGCATGTTTATAAGGAGAAAGGTAAGTGTATTCTTGTCTGTACTGATTAAGTCTGTAACAGCTGTGTAAGGCCACTAAGAAATCTCTTCTAGAGTGAGTAGTTGAAGTTGTGAGAAACTGAAAAGTTAGAAGAGAAAGAGGGGGGTATACTTGGGACAGCACAAAAGAGGACACAGAAGAACTGAAGAAAAGAGAAAGGTGGAAATTAAATTACCACAATTACTGAAGTAGAAAAGCCAGTGAAATAAACATCAATCTATTCTCAAAAATATCTGTTGTAGCTTGGCAGAGGGTTATTCATGAAGAAATTGTTAGGGACTATGTTTAGAGTAGTTGCATGAGGAAAAATGAGGGGAGTTGTAATGGAGGTGGGCAGTACTGTCTTCAGTACCGCAGTGAGATGATATATTCCTTATTACTTCAAAGCATACATTAGACTTTTTCTACTTTTTTTTTATTGTGTATTTTTCTAACCTGTGAGTCTGTAAAATTGCTGCACAGAGCTCAGGGCTCAGTTTTACTTAATGCTGTTTTCTATGCTAATGGGTAACATCAGGTTCTCATTTTGTGAAAACAATATTGGTCGCGCAGTATCATCTCTCCCTTCTCAGGCAGAAGAAATGACAACTGGCTGCAGTTCCCAGGGTTTGGGTAGGGTTCTGCAGAGCTGTTTTTCAACATGGCAAGGATGGCTATTTTTTTGCCTCTAACTTGAGATCCGATTATTCCTCCTACTGGAGTTCTTTTCAAATAGAGAAGAACTCAGAATGAAGAAGTGATAGCAGTGGCTACTATTTGGATGTCATCTGTCTTCATAGTACTTAGATTCTACACCCAGTAGCATAGGTTGATGGTGACTGTTTATTCCCAGGTACAATTGTGAAGCCTTTTAAAACTGATCCTCAAAGCTAAAAAACAGAGGATTTACAGTAGAGAAGTGAATTGTGTGTAAAAGTAAATCTGGTTTTAAAATGTTGCTAGATAATGAACGACTGCACTGTCTCAAGGAAAAACAATTCTGACTTACACTACTGAAATACCTAGTCTCCATCTTTCTCTTATTAGTTAATAAGGAGGTGGCAACTGCAGGTCTATATCGGGATTTTTATCTAGGCTGGAAAACGTGCACTTTATATAAGCTACTCCACATGTAGCGCTGAACTTTAATAAATTAGTGAAAAGATGGTAATGCTATCACATGAATGAAGCTGGAACGAACACTAGAATTAAAATCTTGGAGAGCTGCAATTACTGTCCAGCTGGTAACATCAGCCAACTTTGTGGTGGCTCCATCTCGTGGCAGAGGAGAGAGCAAGCTCTAGTGTTAATCATCATAGCCCACATGTACTTTTTTTTTGGTCTAATGATGCTAGGTATACTACTGGACATATCTGGGCGTGCCCACCTAGTGAAGGAGATGACTACATCTTCCACTGCCATCCTCCTGACCAAAAGATACCCAAACCCAAACGACTGCAAGAGTGGTACAAAAAGATGCTGGACAAATCTGTGTCGGAGCGCATTGTCCATGATTACAAGGTTTGTTAAGTGTATGTTTGTGTTGGGGGGGGTGGGGAGTGGAATGGGGGTGTTGACCAGCCTTGTCTTGGTTTCTTCCTTGCCTTATGCATTGTGCCTGATTCTTGGAGTTCAGTGTGTTAGTTTTATGGGAATTGAGCATTAGAAGTTTGGAGTTAAAATACATCCTCTTTAAAGCATGTAGCTTCTGAAATTGTTCTAGCAAGAGATGTGAAATTATTCCTTAGAACAAACTAAATTCTTGAGGAATACTGTAAAAGAGAGCAAATCTCATTAATACAAAGAAAATATATAGAATCTTTAATCTTCCTGTATTAAATAAAACTGCTGGGTTAGGCTGCTGACGCAGTTAGAAGTATGTAAAAAACTTTGGAATTATCAGGACTTCAGCTAGTGCTGACAGTATAGTGATGATATTGTCCCATTTGGTAAGCGTGCATAGGGAAATCTAGCACGTGGTAATGATTTTATTTCTTTGGAGTGAGAATATTTGAAATGTATTTGACGAACTGTCTGTAACTGCAGTGTTAAATCTGCACTTAAAATGTGCTCTCAAAATGAAATATTAAGTCCTCCTTTGATCTGCTGGTGCCTTTTTTTATCACTTATTGAAAAGGTTGCCTTTATTTATGTGACTTGTAACAGTGGTAACTAAATGTTTTTGCTCTCTTTCAGGATATATTTAAGCAGGCAACAGAAGATCGCCTAACAAGTGCAAAAGAGCTGCCTTACTTCGAAGGGGATTTCTGGCCTAATGTTCTAGAGGAGAGCATTAAGGAACTAGAGCAAGAGGAAGAAGAACGGAAAAGAGAAGAAAACACTAGTAATGAAAGCACGGATGTAAGAATGCTTCTGCTATTTCATGATCTACTGTAAAAGTTGTGATTATGTATGGCTAACTGAAAAAAGGCGGGGGGTGCCTAGGCACTTCGGTTAATTGGCTTTTTCACCTTTCTAGCTTCTCTAATATAAACTTCAATTTTACATTTTATAAGTTAGAGCTGTTAAAATACCACTAAGCTACATTCATATGAGCAGTGGCTGTTCACATGGCTATAAACCTAACTAATTACCAAAGTCAATTAGATTGAAACAACTGCCAGTTGAATATTTTGCTGCTGAAATCCAATTATTATCAATGTTCATGCTGCGACTTCAGCCTGACATGGAAGCATTTTCCTTAAGCTTTAGCTTTTGAGTAGTAGCTAACTCTTTTCTTTCTAACGTAGATGTTACAATCCCAATCTTAGCAGAATGTTCTGAGAAAGTAATAGAGCGCTGTGATTTAGTAGTTTACTTGGTATAGGTCTTTTTAGTAGAAAGCTTTAAAGGGATCTGAAGCACAAATTACTGCTGAACTGTTGGTTTGGGCTTCTTAAACTAGAGAAATTTCTTGCTGGTATCATGTGCAATTTTTTTGGAGAATGTGCAACAACTGTATTTTCACATTCCACAAATAACAAAATAAGGTATGTCTTAGTTCAACAACAAATTTGAAAATTAACAGATGCAGAATTTATGCATCTGTTCATCCTTGGATCTTCTAAGCTTTTATGGAAGAGGTGGCAAATCTAGGATAAGGTTAAGGTTAGTAGTTTTGCTCACACAGTAGTACTTCTTAGTTAACTCTGTTCAAACACTGCTGCTTTGTCACCTTATTAGATACTGGATTTTTGTTGGACTTTAGAATTAATCTTTTTCCTAAAAGACCTTTGGATCAAAAAAGTTAGGTTTAACATTACAATTGGAAGTTGTGGTTCTCCTGTGCTGCTCTTTGCAATACCTCCTTTCAAGGACTTTGAATAAACTAAGTGCAAGAGTAACCTGGGAATTAGGCAACTTGTTAGTTAATGCAAATTTGATATCAATTTACTTAGGAAGGTGTTATTTAAAAGGTTTGTTTTCTACTTGGTACAGCTGCAAGTTCCCATCTCTCTAATATACCAGAAACCAGTTGTGAGGAGTGACCTAGCTCTGTGTGTGAGGTTGGTCAACATCTAGTTGATGCTTCACAGCAGTTTGGCCCCAAAACCCTGCAGTGGGGGAAGCTTGCAGCATATTACTATTTAAACTTTAATAATAAAAATAGTTTTAAATCTTTATTGACCCCATGCTTCACTTCTTGAAAATGAGGCAATAATAAACTGTACTCTCAAATGAAGTGATAGTCATTCATGTTCACTGGAAATTTCCATCCTGACAAAGTTATTTTAAGCTTAGGAAAAACGCTTATTTGGATAAGAATCACTTTGATCCTTGATCATCATAAGCTGTAGTGTTTTGAGGGGCCTCCGAGAAGCACAGAGAGGAATAAACTGTTCATTGCTAATTGATTATAATTGAAATTAAGCTGACCCATTTTGTTCAACTGTTGCAGGATATGACAGGAGGAAGGTGCATACTAGGAATTGCTCTATTAATGCCTTATGGACTCAGAAGAACAGCTTCATATCAAAATCAGTTTCACACAGTTTAAAAAATAAAAATCTGTCAGAGCTGTAACAAACTAAATCTAGGTGGATTAAGTCTGTCTTACCTCTGGTTGGTGCAATATTAGTTGTACTTTTCAGTTATTTTTAGTTTTGAATTGCATTGAGAAGCCATCTGCTGAACCCCTTTGAAGAACATCTTGGATAATCACAGTGTTCAATTACAGCAGGCAAACAGGTTTCAGTAAATATCGTTTCCCTTGCATGTCCTGAGCATTTATGCTTTTAATATTTTCAGAACTATGTATTGCTAATCTTGATATCTTCTGTAGTGATTCTAATGGAATTAATTTAATGTTTCAGGGGACCTTGGTAAGTGTCTTCAGAGTAAATTATTGTGAGGTGTGTTTTGTCCTGCAGTTATAGAACATGTGAAAGTAATAAAATGCAGATGTGGTGTGACTTAGATACCTGACATAAAATGCCTTTAAAATTAATAGGTGAGCAAGGGAGACAGCAAAAATGCCAAAAAGAAGAACAATAAGAAGACAAGTAAGAACAAGAGCAGCTTGAGTCGTGGCAATAAGAAAAAGCCTGGCATGCCCAATGTGTCCAATGACCTCTCCCAAAAGCTGTATGCCACTATGGAGAAGCACAAGGAGGTAGGAGTTGATAAAATGAGAAATAAGCGTTTTACTGAAGTAGAGGGAGGTGTACAAAGCTTTGATGCTTCAAAGAGAGTCATGCCCTGTAAATTATACAGGTTGGGCTGGAGAATTGAGTGGCCCACCAGACAAGTACCCGTGAGTCTGGGTGCTCTTTGCTGCGAGGGCAACGGGGATAAATACAACTGTGGTTGTACAGAACTTCCTAACAGTCTAGATTGTCACAGCAGTTTTACTGTTACTATTCAGTCCAGGGCTCCTTACCTAATGCTTCTGAAGAAGGTGAATATGCAGGGCACCCAGAGGTTTGAAATTTCCCAGTCCTTACAAGCACACCACCCTGACAGTAAGTCAGGTGTTAGTGTCAATTCAAGTGTTAGTTGGTCCTGGAATTGCACGCTCTGTGTAATGAAGTTTGGCAACGAAAACATCTTGATAAGTGCTGGCATATTAAGTCTTTTTACTTTTCAGGTCTTTTTTGTCATCCGTCTCATTGCTGGCCCTGCAGCCAATTCCCTGCCCCCCATCGTTGAGCCTGACCCACTCATTCCATGTGACCTGATGGATGGGCGTGATGCTTTCCTAACCCTTGCTAGAGACAAGCACCTGGAATTCTCCTCACTACGAAGGGCTCAGTGGTCGACCATGTGCATGCTGGTGGAACTGCATACCCAGAGCCAAGACCGCTTTGTTTACACCTGCAATGAGTGCAAGCATCATGTGGAGACCAGATGGCACTGCACTGTCTGTGAGGTATGCTTGGTGAAGTTTTCCTTACTTGTGTCCCTGTATCTTTGTGCCCAGAGTGCTCTTTACCTGAACTAATTTCTCAGTATTAACTGATGGGAAAGGATCTGTACAGCTCATCCTCTGTGAATTCAGAAAGAAAGGAGAGGAAATCTTTTCTGTAAGAAGGGATTTTGCTAATCCGCTACTTAATGTGATTTTTGTCTTCTACTTTCAAGCTGTGGGGAACTGAAGTAGAATTTTATTTCCTGTAGTTCATTTAAGGTGCTGCTGCTGCTTAAGCAGTTGAACTGTAGCAATGGCTTGAGCTATAATGGTAGGATCAGCTGATTTTTCTGAAGAGCAACACATCCTTTCTTCTTCCAGAGTCAGAAGTGTTGTGCTGCAGTGTTTCTGTAAATAGGGCTCTCCATTGGTTTACTGGCATAGAGGTTTCGCTATGCTAAGAAGCCAGATTCCTGTACTTGGGTGACTGTTCCACTACCCTGTTGTCTCACTGTAGAATGCTGCAAACAGCATTTTTGTCTTCAGAAGTGTTTGCAGTATCAGTGTGTTTTGAAGTTCAAGTCCAGCAGTTTGGGTCAATCCTATGACCTCCAGAAGCTGGACTAACCTTGAATCTGGCTTTTAACTTTTTTTTTTTAGCCTGCTGGAAGTAAATTACTGTCTCTGATTCAGTTCTGAAAAGCTCTGAGTAAAATTTGATGTTCCCTTTTTCCTCATACGTACCAGAAGAAAAAAAAAATTAAATTTCCTGTGAATTAATGAATCCTGAGGACTTGTATCTTTTTCTTAAAGATCAATTATTGATCCCAAACTTGTGTGCTGTTGCTTTCATGGAATGTAAATGCTATTCTATTCTTCTGTCAGCACATTCTGCTATTTAACTTGCCTGAAAACTGAAAATGCAGCTTTCATTCTCCTTTCTTCTTTGAAAATTGGTAGCTCTCCCGCCACTCTTGTCCTCTTTTGAAGCAGCAGCAGCAGCTGGGCAGCTATTTGTTCCTTGCCTTTTTCTTCTCCTTTCCTATCAGGAAAGAAAAGGATTTTTCTGGCCCAGCTGAATAATGTGTGACTTCTTAGCTCAGAGCAAACTTGTTTTTCAAGCTATATATATTTGTGTACATTTCAGACACCCTTACGCTCACACACTTTCCCTGGTCATCATTTGAATTCATTCCTTCTCCAGTACCTCAACATGGCGTGAAAGATTGAATTTTCCGTAGAGCAACAATTTGCCTGGAACAGAGTGGGAGTACTTTGTTGAAGTGGCATGACAATATTTATTTATTGTATAGAGTTTCAGGAACACTGATAACTTTTTTCCTTCATTGTCTTTCCAGGATTATGACCTGTGCATCACCTGCTATAACACTAAAAACCATGACCACAAGATGGAAAAACTAGGCCTTGGTCTAGATGACGAGAGCAACAACCAGCAGACTGCAACCACTCAGAGCCCCGGTGATTCACGCCGTCTGAGCATTCAGCGCTGTATCCAGTCTCTGGTCCATGCCTGCCAGTGTCGTAACGCCAACTGCTCACTGCCATCCTGTCAGAAGATGAAACGGGTTGTCCAACACACCAAAGGCTGCAAACGCAAAACCAATGGCGGGTGCCCCATCTGCAAGCAACTCATTGCTCTCTGCTGCTACCATGCAAAGCACTGCCAGGAGAACAAGTGCCCAGTGCCCTTCTGCCTCAACATTAAACACAAGCTCCGTCAACAACAACTTCAGCACCGCCTGCAACAGGCGCAGATGCTCCGAAGGAGGATGGCAAGTATGCAGCGGACCGGTGTGGTAGGCCAGCAGCAAGGATTACCTTCACCCACACCAGCCACCCCAACAACTCCAACAGGCCAGCAGCCCCCAACACCACAAACCCCACAACCCCAGCCTCCGCCTCAGCCTGCCTCGCAGCCTCAACCTGCACCTCCCAACAGTATGCCACCCTACACCATGCCAAGAACTCAGCCCCCCAGCGCTGTGTCCCAGGGCAAGGCAGGTGGCCAAGTGACTCCTCCAACTCCACCCCAGCCACCTCAACCACCAGTTCAGGGTCCTCCTCCAGCAGCAGTGGAAATGGCCATGCAGATCCAGCGGGCAGCGGAGACCCAGCGTCAGATGGCACAGGTTCAGATCTTCCAAAGGCCAATTCAGCACCAGATGCCCCAGATGCCACCTATGGGAATGAACCCTCCACAGTTAGGCAGAGGTCCCGGTGGTCATATAGATCAAGGAATGGGGCCGGCAGGAATCCAGCAGCAGCCGCCGTGGGTGCAGGGGGGCTTACCCCAAGCTCAGCTGCAGCCAGGAATGCAGAGGCCATCCATGATGTCAGTAGCCCAGCCGGGTCAGCCAATGAATATGGCACCTCAGCCAGGGATGGGTCAGGTACCTGGTGCTGCTCAGCCCAAACAACCACCTCTGCCCCAGGCAGCCTTACAAAACCTACTGCGGACTCTCAGGTCTCCCAGCTCACCCATGCAACAGCAGCAGGTGCTTAACATCCTTCACTCCAATCCTCAGCTGCTGGCTGCGTTCATCAAGCAGCGAGCTGCCAAGTATGCAGGATCTCAGAACCCCCAGGGGATGACAGGTCAGCCTGGCATCCCCCAGGGTCAGCCAGGGCTACAGCCGCAGCAAGCCATGCAAGGGCAGCAAGGAGGGGTGCACCCCAACCCAGCCATGCAGAACATGAACCCCATGCAAGCAGGAGTGCAGAGGCCCAGCATGCCCCAGCAGCAGCCGCAGCAGCAGCCACAGCAGGCCATGGCTGGGATGAATCCTCAGGCGCAGCAGATGAATATGAATCACTCGGGGATGGCTCCCCAGTTCCGAGACCTCCTGATGAGACGGCACCAGATGATTGAGCAGCAGCGCCACCAGCAGCAACAGCAGCAGCAGGGAGCGGGACCAGCACTGGGGCCAGGGATGGCCAACCACAACCAGTTTCAGCAGCCCCAGGGCGTCGGGTATCCCCAACAGCAGCAGCAGCAACAGCAGCAGCGAATGCAGCATCACATGCAGCAGATGCAGCAAGGAAGCATGGGACAGATAAGCCAGCTTCCACAGGCAATGAGTGCAGAGACAGGAGCCAGTTTGCAGCAGGCTTTCCAGCAGAGGCTACTTCAGCAGCAGATGGGGTCCCCAGCTCAGCCCAATCCTATGAGCCCCCAACAGCACATGCTCCCCAATCAGGCCCAGTCCCCACACCTACAGGGCCAGCAGCTCCCTTCATCGCTCACCAATCAAGTGCGTTCTCCACAGCCTGTACCGTCACCGCGGCCCCAGTCCCAGCCCCCCCATTCCAGCCCATCCCCTCGGATGCAACCTCAGCCTTCTCCACACCACGTCTCCCCGCAGACCAGCTCCCCGCATCCAGGACTGGTAGCTGCCCAGGCTAACCCCATGGATCAAGGGCACTTTGCCAGCCCGGACCAGAGTGCAATGCTTTCCCAGCTTGCTAGCAATCCCGGCATGGCAGGCCTCCATGGTACAAGCGCCACGGAACTGGGGCTCAGCTCTGAGAACTCAGACTTGAATTCAAACCTTTCACAGAGTACACTAGACATACACTAGACACATTGTAGCATTTTGGGAGCAAAAGAAAAAAAAAAAAGAAAAAAACTTATTTTCTCAAGACTTTTTGTACTGAAGACAAATTTTTTTGAATCTTTCTTAGCTAAAACAACATTTTTCCCTGGAACACATCTGAACTCTGCAGCAGTAGTTTGTGGTTTTAAAAACAAACCAATAATGAACCTGAGGGACAGTAGAGTACAAAGAATATATTTTTGTTATGGCTGGAATCACAACCAGTCCTTTTTCTTGTTTTTTTTTTTTCCTTGTGTGCGTTGAGGAGGTTGGGGGAAGTGGGTGGTCTTTTGGCTGTTCACCAAAGGATGCCCTACTCATGCCTCCAATAGGTTTTATTTTTTTTTAAATTAATGAAAATATGTAATATTGATAGTTATTATTTACTGAGGCAGATGGTAAACATTTTCCCTATTCTGGTTTTTCTTCATGTCACTGCAAAAAAAAACACAACAAAAACAAAACAAAAAAACCCCACAGGAGAACCTTTTCCTAAAAATGGAGGACAAAAGGGGTTAATGTTGCTTTAAAAATACATTACATATATAAATATATATATAAAAAAATAAATACCAATCTTTTCCTCTTTGGTTGGAAATATGTCAATTCTTTGAAAAATGTAAAAATATTAAATAACTCAGTCCCCTCTTGAAGTCTACTTTTGTCCTCCAAGAATTTTCTATACAAGAGTTTGAGCTTAAAAAAAACTTCAAGTATTAAAATAATTTGTACATGTAGAGAGAAGACAACATTTTTGCAAATACACAGGGGCAGCTGCCAAATGGATGTAGTATATATATTGTGGTTTCTGTTTTCTTGAAAGAATTTTTTTCGTTATTTTTACATCTAACAAAAGAAAAAAAAATAAAAAAGAGGGTAAGAAACAATTCCAGTGGGATGATTTTAACCTGAGAAAAAGTCCCTGGGGTTTCTTCTTTATGCTTGCTTTCTCTCTCCCGTGCCCCTTTCCCGCCCTCTTCCACTTTCTGTAAAACTTGAAAATAGAAAGCAAAAAAACCCTCAAATGTTGTAAATCATGCAATTAAAATTGATTACTTATAAATATGAACTTTCGATCACTGTATAGACTGTTAAAAATTGATTTCTTATTACCTATTGTTAAATAAACTGTGTGAGACAGACAGCCTGTTTTTAATGTTTCCCTTCTCTCCCACATGTGTTGCTTGTTCTTAAAATGGTGGGGGTAGCAGAATATATGCTACTTCAAATGTTTGCTATTTAGATGTCAGAGAGCTATTTAATGTATATGACTGTTTTAAAGTGCAAATCTCTAATGAGGGACATGGAGTAATAATTAGTCTTCTAAATGGACACTTCTGGTACAACTCTGCATTTGCGTTTGTTCCCGGCCTGTATCTTACCAAAGAAATGAGGTCTGACCTCAACAGTTGTGCCACTCAGCTGTACCCCACCCTGTGCACGCAGCCTGGGAGCAGCTGATCTTCAAAGGACCTATTTTGCATTTTGAAATGAGAACTGTTGTTTGGATATGTGATATTAAAAAATCCTATTTCACATGGAATATATTGTACACCTTTTGGCACCGAAGTGTGTGCATGTCCTATATAGAGGGGTCTGGAGCACAAGTCTTATGAGGAGCGTCTGAGGGAACTGGGGTTGTTTAGTCTGGAGAAGAGGAGGCTCAGGGGAGACATTATCGCTCTCTACAGCTACCTGAAAGGGGCTTGTGGTGAGGTGGGTGTTGGTCTCTTCTCCCAAGTAACTAGCAATAGGAAATGGCCTTAAGTTGCTCTAGGGGAGGTTTAGACTGGATATTAGGAAAAATTTCTTTATGGAGACAGTGGTCAAGCATTGGAACAGGCTGCCCAGGGAGGTGGTGGAGTCACCAATTACTGGTAGTGTTCAAAAAATGTGTAGACATGGCACTTCAGATTTAGTGGGCATGGTGGTGTTGGGTTGATGGTTGGACTTGATGATCTTGGAGGTCTTTTCCAACCTTAATGATTTGTGATTCTGTGACACTGCATCGAGACAGCATGTGGGTGCCCCATTGGCCCATGTTGTATCTGGTGATCTGCCAGATGTAGGTCACATGGGGTCGGTTACTGTATATTATACATACTTTGGGGATTTCCTGAACAGAAGTGCTTCAACTGTGGAGTGTCTGTGTAGTAAACCCAGTTGTGTGCTGCCTATGCACGTGGAGTAAATCGCATCGTGTAAGAACATGTTGTGCATTGTGCGCTGGCTGGGCACTATGTATGCAGCTGGTCCATTGAGGGCTTACCAAAATATAACCTTACTCTCTGTATGTATATACAGTGCTGGCTACATAGGGAGTAACTTGTACCAGGGCGTTGCACACCTGGAAGACCCACACGTGACCAGAGCACAACATCTGCATAACACCAGGTGTGTTGTGATCCACAAACCCCAGACCACTAACAATGTGAGCAAGCTGCTCTCAGGAAACAGCTGGTGGAAGATGATGGAGGGGTGAACCTGGATAGATAGGAGCAAGCCTCAGCCAGGGGCCAAACAAAAGTAATGGTGTATTGCGATGTTTACAGATGTTCAAGGCTGTTACAGTGGGAGTAAAATGCTTGATATTTGGGTATAAACACAAGTAGGACAACGAATCTTGTATAAGAGGTGTATTTGATAGCAAGAAACCTTCAGCAACATGATGGAAAGTTCCTGGGAGGCTTAAGGAAAGCAGCGCTGTGCTTTGGTATTCTCCCTTGGGTAATCTTCATACCGATCACCCCTGCATGGTGCAGACCAGCTCTGCACCAAGCCTACAATTGCCTTGTCTGCTTTCGGAGGGACTGTTGACCTGCTCTGAAGGAGAGCAGAAAACAAGAAGCCACATGCTGAATGCCAGGGCAAGGGCAGCAGCCTGGGATGGTTCAGATCTGCATTCTCTGTGTCAATCATGGCAAACTTTCCCCTTCCTTCCCCCCACCCAAGCAAAGCCTAGTTTTACTTTCAGCCTTGGGGCTTCTCAGGCTGGAGTGTAAATAAAATTCCTTCTGACCATATACTGGCTAGCAAAATGTAAAGTGTACCCAGCTTCCTGACTTCTTGTATGCCTTTCGTGCATCCCAGCTTAGAGGCATGAATGAAAGCTCTTTGCTATGTTAGCACATAAAAAAATCTGTTTTGAATTTGTCCTGGCCTGCATGGGAGCATCTGGTCCATGCTGAAGTGGGGAAGCCTCAAGACCTTGCAGAGCAACTTTGATTCAAAGAGCTACAGATCTTCCAACTTTGAATGCCAACATAGTGACTTGCTTAGAAGATGCCATGAGGCATTTTATGTGACAGCACAGCTGCTCTGTCCCTCTTTGTAGATGCTGTCTCTGAACCAAGTTCAAACATTTTATTGAAGTGGTGTGGATGATCGAGGGTCTTGTATGTGCATGGGGTTTCTTTCCTTTGCATCCCTCTGCTTTCCCTGATGCTACTGGAGAACCAGAGCCCACTAGTTGGGGAAATACTATGGCTGACTGGGGATGCGGTAGAACTTCAGGATGGCAACAAAAGTGGGATATCATCTGCTTGCCGATCAGTTGCATCCAAGTTAGAGTAAGTTGTTTCACTTCTTGGGCCAGCAAAAAGAACTCGCACCCAATGTTTTAGCGGTCCAGTTAAAGATTTGTTGTCAAATTACAACAATGCTAATGCTTATAGTCAAATAAGATGCAGTTCAGTGATGTGAACTTTCTAATGTCTACCCCTTCCAATGCCCCTTTGAGTCTTGGAGTCAGTGACTGAAGTTGCAGGTGTGGAGGGCTTACAGTCACAGGGAGGAGTGTAATCATGGTTTCTTCCTCAATCTTGGGGTTATCTGTTTCCAAAAAAATACACCTTGCACTTCCCTGGTTCATTGTTCCACATGATGTACAAAGTTACTGGTTTTGGACTGCTTTGTACATATTGCATACTTGTTCTTTGTTGGCCCTAAAACTGGTTTTACCCAGATCCCAGTTACTCTGATGACTTGGCCACTGGGCTTATGGGCCTGCAGTATTGTCCTGTGACTGTATGTGTCTGCATGGCTTTTTTCCCCCCTAAATTCTAGCATCGTAGAGAATACTCTGTTCTATGTAGAGACACTTGTTACTACAGAATCACAGAATGGCTGAGGTTGGCAGGCACCTCTGGAGATCATCTAGTTGACCTCCCTGCTCAAAGCAGGATTATGTAAAGCAGGTTGCATGGGGCCATGTCCAGATGAATATCTCTGGGATGGAGGTGCTGCAGCTTCCCTGGTGTACTCCCCCCACCAGGTATCTACACACATGGCTAAGATCCCTGCAGCCTTCTCTTCTCCAGGCTGAACAGTCTGAGCTCTCTCAGCCTCTCTTCGTATGACAGATGCTCCAATCCCTTCATCATTTTCCTGGTTGTTAGACTCACTCCGCTATGTTCATGTCTCTTGTACAGGGGAGCAGAAATCTGGTCATGGCACTCCAGATGTGTCTCACCAGTGCTGAGAGGAAGGATCACCTTCTTCCACCTGCTGGCAATACTCTTCCTAATGCAGCTGAAGCTGTTGGCTGCCTGCCACAAGGGCATGTTGTTGGTGTATTGTTCAACTTATCACCAGGACCCCCAGGCCCTTTTTTGCCAAGCTGTCTTCCGCCATGTGCTGGTGCATGGGGTTGTTCATCCCAGGTGCAACACTTTACATTTCCTTTTCTTGAACTTTATGAAGTTCCTGTCAGTCCATTCCTTTGGCCTGTTGAGGTCCCTCTGGATGGCAGCACAACCCTTTGGTATATCAGCCACTCCTCCCAGTTTTGTACCATCTGTGAATTTCCTCAGGATGTACTCTGCTCCATCATTCAGGTCACTAATGAAGATGATGTTAAACAGTATTGGCCTCAGTACCAGCCCTTGGGGTACGTCCCTAGTGACTTACCTCCACTGGACTTTGTGCCAGTGATCCCAACCCTTCAATCCACCTTGTTGTCTAGCCCATACTTAACGTTTGTGAGGAAGTTGTCAGAGATGGTGTCAAAAGCCTAAAGTAAATTCCAGATAAACAACATTCACTGCTGTCTTGACCAAGACAGTCATTACCAAAGGCTGTCAGGTTGCTTAGACATGATTTCCCCTTCATAAATCCATGGTGACTACTCCTTTTCACCTTCTTGTCCTTGGTGTGTTTGGAAATGGTTTCTGGGAAGATTTACTCTGTCAACTTGCCAAGGACTAAAGTGAGGCTGACTGGCCTCTGGGTGCCCAGATTCTCCTTATTTGAGACAGAACTCTCATTCTTCTACTCCTCTGGAACTTCCCCCAGTCATCATGACCTTTCAAAGATAATAGAGAATGACCTTGCAATGACATCAACCAGCTCCCTCAGCATTTCGGTGTGAACCGTCAAGTCCTATAGACTTGAGCATGTTTAGTTTGTTTAAATGTTCTCTAAGCTGATTCTACTTCACTGAGAGTGTCTCCCTTGCTTCAGACATGCCCACTGGTCTCCAGGAGCTGGGATTGCTGAAAGTAGGGAAGTCCAGAGAGGCACCCAGATGTGCTGATTTTTCAGAAAAGTTATGAGAGCTTTCCCCAGGATGCTGTCCCCCTAGCATATCCTTGTTTTAATGCATACATGTCTGCCA